GATTGGTTTTTAATTTTTTAATCTAAAATTATATAAAAAATATAATTTATTAACCTTTATTGTTTTCACACAATAGATCAGAACTTGGAGAGGACACAATATAGTTAAAAATAAGATACATTTGGGCTTTGTTTTTTTTTTTCATGTTTTATCCACTGGACAAGTAAGCTCAACCCAAAAAAAGTTAAAAACATTTCGTGAACTTCATCCTAATTCCTAAAGGCAAAACCAACTTTTATCCATTCGTCTTGCAGGATATATGGTACTAAAATTTTTTAAATATTTTTATTGATGATATATTTTCAACTTGTATAATTTTGTAAGTTAATCTATTTTAAAATTTTAAAAATTTGTCATCTAACACAAAATTTTATATTTGTCTCTGTTAATATATATTTATTCTACGAGTTGATTTAATTAATAAAATATAAGATTATTTTTAATGATAAATTTAATAAGATATTAAGTAATATTATTGCTCCAATTAGTGGGGAGGAGATCAAGAGAAGTGACTAAACTTGCTCATGCACGTGATTGTCTTCGGTACATGGAAGAACAATGCTTTATTAATTGTTGACAATGATTCCAAAGCACAATTTAAGGTCTTCTTAGTAATCATCACTCTAAATTGTGAACAATCGGGGAATTCTATTATGATGCATAACCAAGCGACGTTGAGCTGGCACACCAACAAACTCTTCTAGTCTTGTGGACTATATTCAATAGGAACTTCATGAGATAACAATGAATCTATTAACTATTAATATCCTTTTATTAAAAATGTTAGTAGATAGTACTGAAAACACAACTGTGGGTAAAAATCTTGAACCGGACATTTTTCAACAAATTCAACTCGTTGATGCGCTAGTGGATTAACATCAAATCTGGTGAGAAAATATGACAGGTATTTGTTTAAATAAAGTGTTACAATTTAAAGACCAACTATGATCCTCAGTTTAAATTTATTACCAAATTTCTTAACATCCATCCATAGCTATATACATACACATAAATAAGTAGAAAATGAGAGATAGACAGAGGGAGGTTAAGGAGGTGAAGGAGAGAGCTTTTGAAAGAAGAAAGAAGCTTTAGCAAAGCTCCAATGGAGGAGAAAAGGCAACACCTTTGTTTAACTCAAAACAAGTTTCTTCACCATTGGTGTTGTACTCTTTTGATCTCTTTCTTGGCTATATTGCCTTCAACTCTATCGTTCAACTATGGCAAAGCCCTCTCCAAAAGCCTCCTTTACTTCGAATCCCAACGCTCCGGCCGTTTACCCTACAACCAAAGAGTCACCTGGCGCCACCATTCCGGCCTCTCCGATGGCCTTGAGCAAGGGGTAAGCCCTCCATATATATATATATATAATGGTATTTGTGTTTGATATATGTATATATATGTCTTTGTATGAAAAGGTGGACTTGGTGGGAGGGTACTATGATGCCGGAGACAATGTGAAATTCGGTCTGCCGATGGCTTTCACCATTACCATGCTCTCATGGGGTGTCATTGAATACGGCGACGAGATCGCTGGTGCCGGAGAGTACACTCATGCTCTCGAGGCGATCAAATGGGGAACCGATTATTTCATCAAAGCTCATACTCACCCAAACATCTTATGGGCCCAAGTAAGAGAAATAAATATAAATTAAACCACTTTTGTTTTGGTATATTCAATGACAATGAGTTTTTTTCACTAGGTGGGTGATGGCGACTCCGATCACTACTGTTGGCAACGGCCCGAGGACATGACAACATCCCGGCAAGCCTACAAGATCGACGAGAGAAACCCGAGATTCGGACGTAGCAGGCGAGACGGCAGCGGCAATGGCGTCAGCCTCCATTGTGTTTAGGAAAACAAACCCACATTACTCTTACCTACTACTGCATCATGCACAACAGGTAAACCTAGCTTAATGAAGTTGCCATATTTGTTAACATATTGTATTTAGTACGTGCTACTGTTCACAAAAACACAAGTAACTAACTAATTTCATGCTTATTATCTATTAATATATGTGATTATTATTATTTTTTTACCCTTTTTTGATTAAATTGTATGGGCAGTTGTTTGAGTTTGGGGACAAGTATAGAGGGAAGTATGATGAAAGTGTAAGGGTGGTGAAAGGGTACTACCCGTCGGTGAGTGGGTTCAAAGATGAGCTGTTGTGGGAAGCTTTGTGGCTATACAAGGCCACCGACAAGGAGGATTATTTGAGGTATGCTTTGCAGAATGCAAATGAATTTGGTGGGATCACTTGGTCCATGAACGAGTTCAGCTGGGATGTCAAGTTTGCTGGTCTTCAGGTCATTGCTTCAATGGTAACAAAACAGCTCATACACAAAATTTCGTACTTTATGTTAATGTTCGATTATTATGTTAGAGCGTTGTGTTGATAATACGACAGAAGATTCTTTTCCGACTGATTTCGGTATCGTTTCATTATGTTTATGCAGTTGTTGGTGGAAGAAAAGCATAGGAAGATGGAATCCAAGCTTGTATTGGAACAATATCGTTCAAAGGCTGAACATTATTTATGTTCTTGCCTTAACAAGAACAACACCAGTAATGTGAACCGCACCCTGGGTGGTCTGTTGTACGTCCGGCAATGGAACAACATGCAATACGTATCGAATGCAGCGTTTCTCCTCACCGTTTACTCAGATCATCTCCGAGTGTCGAATCAACGGCTAAGATGCGACCGCGGTAAAATGGGACCAGAAGAAGTCCTTGCGTTCGCGAAATCCCAAGTCGATTGCATCTTGGGAGCATATCCGATGGCCACGATTTACCTAGTTGGATACGGTGCAAGTTACCCTCAAAGGATGCACCACAGGGGCGGATCGATTGACTCCTACAGAGTGAACGAGGGATTCATAGGGTGCACTCAAGGGTACGATGATTGGTTTCACAGAAAAGAACCAAACCCTAATGTAATCATCAGAGCAGTTGTCGGAGGGCCGGATCAGATGGATGAATTCAGTGATGATAGGAAAAATTTCATGCAAACCGAGGCTTGCACTTATAGCACAACAAGCCTTGTTGGGGTTTTGTCTAAATTGCATGGTTTAGAAGAAGATTGAATTATTATTATTTTTTTCCAAACAGATTCAGGCAGGCAACCTTATGTTTGGTCTGAATCTAGAATCTCTTTCTTACATGATCTGAAAGATGCAATCTTCATGTTAGTTTGGTACATTCAAAGATTACTTGTGGATTTGGATGTATGTTACTTAGATCTATTCCTACCAATAATGTTGTCATTTAATAATGGTCTGAAAGTACAATAAGTCAACAAAGCCTGTAAAAATTTGGGTGGTCCTTTTTTTTAAAACTAAATTTATTTCAAAAATAAACGACTGATGTCTATATTTTGGCCTTTTTTACTCAAATATACCCCGTTCAAAAATAATTTCCCATTATTACTTATCAATATATTGAGCCTATTTTGGGCCATATAGGTCTTGGATTTCAGCCTATTAAAATGAGCTGGTATAACAAGTAGAATAGCCTATTGATGAATATAAAATGCTTATATGATTTTCTTAAAGTAAGAAACTTTAGCTTCTGTTTGTATGTTCTTTCTTGTTCATTACCCAATGAAGAACCAAAATAATGAGGTAGGTAAAGTTGCCTACGTATCCAAGAACCCCGCAGACAGGAATATAACAGCACACAATAATCACATGCATTTATTTATTAGCTCGTAACACACAACATCAATGTCATTTTACATGATCCAATCACCAAACCAACAAGCAAATAGCAGTTCTCACAATGTTTAACCATACACATCACTGCAAACTAAGTTTGCTTATTTAGGCTACCAGTACCATACAATACATATACACGATCATTGACACCAGACAGACATAGTAGAAACTTAAAATACAAGGGGCAGAGTTCTGTTTGTGGAATGCCGCTTCTTACTGCTGAACGACACATTCTTGATTCCCAGCCACCATGGTATGGTGGGAGCTTTTAGTGACAGTGTTCTTTTCTTCAACGGGCTCCTTAAGCATAGAATTGGCAGTGTTTTCGATGCTATCCTCGCCATTAGCAATGGCTTCGAAGATAAGTTCGTTCACTTCACGGAACCTCTCATCAGAGAGAGAAACCTCGGCAAGGAGTCTCCAAGCATTTTCATCAGATGCCTCATCATAGTTCTTCCTCATTTTTAACACCATATGACCACTAATTTCCCATACAGCTGGGTTCACCTGGGTTTCTAGAAGCTCTGGACTCACTTCCCCAAGAGCTTGTTTCTCAGCATAGCACTGTTGGTTCAATTGACAGATTCCAAAGTCAATTGTAAGAACTAGCAGCATCATGGAGGTAATAAAAGAGAGTTAGTTAGACTTAGTTTATTACCTGTGGAAGGAGAAAGATCCGCTTTCCACAATCAGAGATGAGAACATTATATGGTATGTTGTTCTCTTGAAGGCAAATGCAGGCATCAGAAACAGTGTAGGACAAGTCCTGAAGAGTGTAGCCACCCTCAAAGACAAGACCCCTGACCGGATAGTTTAAAAGCTCTGAGATTATCACTTCATCCTTCAAAGTGGTTAGCTTCTTAGTGGGAGCTTTCTCAATGGGAAAGGGCACATCCAAGTAGTAAGCCTGCAGTGATCATAATAATAAAGTCACCTAAACCATTTCTACATCAAACATATAGATATGTCCTGGTGGCACAAAGTACATTACGCACAAATCTGGGATGTAAATACCTGGAAGTGAAGGTGATTGATTGTAGCAAATGCACCAAAGCTGTTGTAACCCAATCTGAAATATGGATTCCCAGCTTCAACTGCCATATACAGTGCAAGCAAGAAGCTCTCACGGTCAATCCTCTGGGGCAAGCACTCAAGGATTCGAGGGATCAACAGCACATGCCCGTATTCAATAGTACTGACCTGTCGAATTGTATACAAACAATGTTAATTCTTATGAGGCCAACACTCTTCCTTTGTTAATTATTCTATACTCTAAATAATTAGAACTAGCATACATTTATGGCAACAACACTTGGAACATTCTCAACATCGATGGGAGCACTTGGGTAGAACTGAACTTCACCATCTTCACTTGCTTCAAACTGGAAGAGAACCTCTTCTTGCCCGACCTTGGTGAAGTTGAACTTGTTCTCATCAAAGGGTTGGAGAACCTTATCAACACGGAATTCAGTTGGCCTCTTCTTCAGGTGGCGGCCCTCATTCAGTTAGGCAATAAAGCCATATTCACCAGCAATCACCTAAACAACGATAAAATAGAATATTTTCATGGCCCTAACAACTCAATCAACCACAAAATTTCAGCTTATTTGCAGGTAAACAATCGAAGCAAGGAAAGAGAAAGGAAGTTGAAATTAGACCTTAGTTTCGCAGGCAGTAACATCATAGCGAAAAAGCCCTCTTTGCATGCGATCTTCCCACTACCATAAACCATAAAAGCACCTTTTAGCCCCACAATTTGTATAATACAACAATTACCAACCATCGTAATGATCGTAATCTTGTTTGTAATAGCAAAATTTACCTCCCCAAGAATGAACGATTCGAGAAAAGCAACAGGGGGCTCGTTGTCCTCAATTGCAAGTACATCTTTTCCACCATCAATCTTATTCGGCTTCCTGAAAGCATATAAAGGAAGCTTTGCTCCTATAAACCAAACCCAGTTCCAGTTAAACCTCATTTCTTCAAACAAACAAGGTCACGGAGTAAATTTAACGAATACTTGGAATGCAGCAGCTTCTAAGGCAGTTATTTCCACATCCACCGCTACGGCGAGCAGTCTCTTCCGTCTCATCCTTCTGGTGATTCGAAACAACAGTTGGAACCCTCTTAATCCTGAGCATCATCTTGTTACTACTTTCTTAGGAGCAATTTATTATTACGAGCAATCTTAATGAACTTCTTCGATAATAAATTTTTTCCTTTTTCTTTTCTTAATAGACTAAAAGCTAGTTAATACTAACTACTGAAACTCTAAAAGACAAGACCACCACCAGCAAGGAAGAGGAGATCGGAAGGACTGCCGCCTTCAGAAGGCAAAGCTCCACGCCCACCGTGCGGTGAAGGGTTGCTCTCTGTTACACAACTCTTACGTCGAACAGATCGGGCATGAATAAGAGGCCGGTAAACTCTGTGTATAGCCGTGATGTCCACAATTTGTCTAACCAGGGTATTACCCCATAAGAAACGAAAAGCTTCCGATTCAGAAACACCACTAAACTAATTTAACCAAACACCTAACCAATTTAACTTCAAAATTTCCTGTGAAATACAGAAAGAAAAACCCAAAGAAACTTTTTTTTCTTCTGATTTTCTTGGTGAGAGAAGGAAGGAGAAGAAGGAAAAGACATATATAGATAAGAGGGGAGCGAAGAAGAAGGCAGTTTTTTTTGGAAGGATTGAAGGTATACAGTAAAGGAGAGGTGCTGGCACCTGTGTGTGATTTCTTCAGAGTCAGCCTTTTTTAGTGGGCTCGAAGACAATTACTTGATACAGGAACACGAAAATGAAAGGGGGGAGAGAGAGAGAGAGAATTAGAAAGGGAGTGAATGTGCTTTTCGTTGCTGTTGTTTTTCTTATTTCTACTTCATCCTAACAATAGGAGGCTCCAAGGTGGAATAGAATATGCATATGCCGGGGATGGTGAGCTCCGGGAGCTGGAACCCACGGACGGGAAGAGAAGGATAGATGCTCCGGTGGCTCTGATCTAGTTGGCTCCTCCAATAAATGAAATTGGACTTGGTTACTTAGTTAAAAAAAAGGGTAAAGTACACAAATAATCATTTGACTATAAGATATTGTTTTATTGAGTCTATTAACTATTAAAAGTTATAAAATAATATCTCAATCGTAGAGAGTTGTTTTGTTAAGTCTCTCGACTATTAAAAGTTATAAAATGATCATTTGACTATTCATTATGTACCAAATTCATCATTTTTCATTAAAAAATTAATAGAAGTCTAAGTTGGACGTTAACTTGTTGACTAAGATATAATAAAATTTGATCTCATAATCTCTAACAACTATTATATCTCAATCAACATGTTAACATTTAACTTAGATAACCATTAAATTTTTAACGAAAAAAGACGAGTTTGTAACATAATGAATATTTAGATGATCATTTTGTAACTTTTAACAGTCGAAGGACTCGACAAAATAACTTTCTATAGTTAGAAGATTATTTTATAACTTTTAATAGTTAAAGGACTTCACAAAATAATATCTTATAGTCAATGGATGATTTGTGTACTTTACCCTTAAAATAATTATTTAAGAAAAATAAAACGTGGTGTTAAAGGGAATTAAAGAGAGGATTCAAAGTATCCCAATTTATTAGGAAAGTAGATAATAATATTATCTCAAATCATAAACCAGACCATTGGCGTCGGAAATATTTTATTTTTCCTTTAAAAAAAGTTTTTTTTAAAGAATTTTTTTTAGAAAAAAATAAAAGTTTTAAATGATTTCACTTTTCCTTTTAAGATATATTTAATATTTTTCAAGTTATCATTTAAAGAGTTTAACCCTTAAAAAACATATTATACAATCGATGCTAAACACGTAATATGTTTTTTTAATTTATTTTAAAAAAATAAAATTATTAATTTTCTAAACTCCTAAAATTTTTAAATTGCTAAAATCTCTCAAATCTTTAAATCTCATAAATTGTCGTTAAATCAATCACCATCAATCATTCATTCTATCATTGAATTCTCATTGATCGATCGTTCCCTATCAATCGTACGTTGCTACACATAATCTCTATCTTGTCACACATTTTTTTTTCACTCAGTCATCGCTTGTCATAGCTCTCGAAGAGGTTATACAGTCGTCCAAATCAAAATTGAGCCATATGAATTTTTGACAGTGTGTTTGTCATATGATCTCCAATCTTCAAGGGAATTTGAAATTTAAGGTTGTTCGAGAAATTAGAAAATCTATGATTTATTTAGAAATTTAATGTTTCTTTTAAATAATATTAATCATAAGTTAACGTCACATGTTAAGTAACCATTGATTGATAAAAAATTTAACCAAAATTGATGGAATGACCCTAAATGATGACAATATATAACTTAAATAATAACGAAAATAACGTTAAACACATACTTTAACAAACAAACAAAAATGAAAACATTTAAAATAAAAAAATATATAATTTAAATCCTTATTTTGTGTGTGTTTTCTCACCAACTCCCACTTTTTTTTTTGTACCGATGGACTTATAAAACATCATTGGTTAAATTATCAGAAGACTAACATGTTAATTTAATATATTATCATGGTGGGATTATAATTACGTATGTGTGATATAGTGGGCATGACGTTTTGTATATTTTAACCTAGTGTTGTTTTCAGTTCTGATTTTGAATGTCATTTTAATCATCAATATATAATTGTAAATAAATAAACCATATTTCCTCCACAAAGTGCTTAATCATCAACCAAATACTTTTCACTTGTCCAACTACAATTCCATGTAATTTAGAAGTATTCTTTATTTACTTTAAAAATAATAAAATTCAATGCAATATAAAGTAAAATATTGTTCACATATATTTTGAAGGCCGTAATTTCTTATCCTCTAGATTCAACATTTGATAGGGTCCTATGTCCTAAACAAAGGTACAATTCAAGAAATTTCTTTCACATGACTGAATGACGCAAATAGCTATTTGTCTGTCAAGAATATATGCAATTCTTTGGTCCCTCCCAAACTAGTCATTACTACACGATATTGTAATCCATAGATATCAATTCTGATACTTGTATTTAAATATATATATATATATATATATATGTTTACGTTTCGTATACGTGTAAACATGAAATAAAATAATATTTTATTTTAATTATAAAATACACTTTTCAAGGAATGGTTCATATATATATATATATATATATATACCTATTCGGTAGCTTTAATTTCATTATATTCTTTTAGTTCAATTAATAAATAGGAGAAGATAAATGTTTATGTAATTGTTTTCGGCATCCTATGACATCAATGATTAACCATTTTTCTACCGTCAAAGATGGTGGGTGAACGTGGAGTCATATGGCTCACAATTATTATCTATAAGCGTGTTGATGGTAGAGGACAAAATATACAAGTAATAAAAACCTATTTCGTACATTCTAGAAAGATACCTTTTTCTGTAAGAAATATATGGACTTTACCGCACGACATTGACATTGGCAATTTCCTCTCATTTCATTTCCCAAGCAAACTAAGATTATTGGAGGTGTTCAAACTGTTAATTAAAATTAAATTAATTAATGAATTCTATAATGATTAATCTAATCAATTTTTTAGGGACTGGGTTCGAGCCTTACTTACACCATCTTAAGGCCCAAAAGAAACATTGGGAGTTCGGACAAAGTTACCTCATCAGGGCCGAACAAACATGCATTGTCTTCCAAACATTCATGTTTGTGTTCAGCTGCCGAAATCATCGAGCCAATCACCAGGCCCACCATAGAATCAATCCAACAGCACCAGAATCAAGCTTTGGGGAACACCACTCGCAACACATCCCAATAAATTTTCAGATGCTAAAAGTCATTCAATTCTTATTTGGGAAATTAAAATATTTACTAAGATTTTGTAATATAATATTTAATCACGATAATAATTTTAAGATTATTGTCAAGACTTTCAATAACTAGTATTCGTGAAAGAATATTTTTTAAAGATTAAATGAATCTTTTTATTTAAACAAAAGTCATTGTCGAACTACTATCAATTTAAAATAAGTGTCCTGTTACATACTAAAATACAAATAAAAGAGAATTAAGTTTAAAAGTAAACTACACCAAATATAACTCAGCTTTAGATATTAAATCGTTTATACCACTAAATTTTTAGTTGCTTTGATTAAAGTATTGAACTTTTATTTTCATTTCAATTATACTAGGGTCATTAACTTGATAATAACGTGGATGACAGTTACTGACATTGATGCTAATTGGGATCATGTCGTGTTTATCGTACGATTTAGATGCCTAAAACAACCCAAAATAATATCGGTTTGATGAGAAAAATCAAGGGAAAAAGCAACAAACACGTGTAAGAGTGTTTGAACCTAAATCTTATGGTAAAAATATTTAATATTTAATCACTATGATTAAAATCTTATTATAATTTGAAACGTAATAATATATATGTTAAATTATAGTTATGATTAATTTTATTTATAAAATCTTAATTAAACGCATGATTAACACAAATTCTATACCAAAACTAATATAAATAAACACATGTGACATGCTCAACTTAAATCCATCATTAACAAAAAAATGTTTTAACTTTATAATACCTTCAATATTAAAAGATGTTTAACAAATATTTTGCTTTCAAGGTTATATAATAAATAATTATTTTAAAGAGCGGGATTCACAACATGAAAACTAATTGAGGGGAAAAAAACATAAAATATACCTAAAGATCACAATCAAAGAATCAAGATGATAAAAGAGAATGAAGCACCAACGACCATATAATAAAAATATAAATATAGTTATACAAGTAATTGTACTTGAAACAATATAATTCAACAATGCAGCTGAGTTCTCCCTGTCAGTCAATAAACCTCCCTCGGAAAAAACCCAAAATCACAATGATGATGGAGGTTAACAATATGAAGAATAAAAATATTTACCCATTTTCTCTACATTTAGTTTAGTTTTTTCAAGGACATTTGCAGGTTGAAAGAAGATGAAGGAACCACGAAGGCTTAGGCTGGTGAATTGTGCAGCTTTAGCTACCTGTTCAATGCTATTCTTTCTGGTTTATGCTACACTTTTTCAATCCAACGACACCGTATTTGAACTCTCTGAAAAT